TCCAGCGCCCCGGCCAAAGGCTCTTCGCGGCCGTGCCCGGCGCGCGCGGCGGCCCCAGTTCGGCCAGGAAGGGCGACAGGCGCTCGGCGAGGCGCGGGGGCCCGCGGTCCTGGCGGCCCTCCGCCCGCGCCTCCTGGGTCAGGTCCACCACGCCGCGTTGCCCCGCAGCCTCCTCGCGGGCCCTCGGGTCCTTCTTGCCGAACAGCGGGGGCGGCTCCCCGCCGCGGCCCGCCCGCTCCTTGGCCGCACCTTCCCGCGAAGAGCCTTTGGCCGGGGCGCTGGAGGAATGGCCGCCCGGGGTCCTGGAGGAGGGCGCGTGAGAGTGCAGGGCGCCCGGAGCCCCTGGGGCGGGCAGGTAGAAGCCGTCTGCGGGGAAGAGAAAGAGTGACAGGCGTGAGCGAGTGCCCCCTCACCCCGCCGACGCAGAAGCGGAGGGCCCCTCAGGGGTGCCCTGCCACCCCAGGGTTAGGAAGGACGGTCCTGCACAGCGCAGCCCTTGGAGGGCAGGCTCCGGAAATGGAGGGTCTAGAGGTCATAATCTCGCCTTGGCCACCGACTAACCTCTCTGGGCCTCAGTTTACTCATCTGGGAAAGGGGTAGAGGCCAGGGTTGTCTTTCGAGCCTACAGAGAGAGGGTCAGGCGAGTACAGCACAACTAGAAGGCACCAGAAGGCTGGGGGGTGGAGGGCTGGGGAGGCCCTCAGGAGCAGGGGTCTTGGAAAACAGAGGGGGTGCTGCCTGGCATACCGGGTAGTGGTGGGGACCCCAGAGAAACCCCTCAGAAGGTACCCTCCAACCCATCTCCCCACTCCCACCCCAATACCTTTCTGGGTATCGAAAATGCTGGGCTGGCCCAGCTGGCTGAGGAGGGGGCTCCCGCTGCTGGGGGGCTCCAGGTGGTTCAGGTGGAGGTAGGATGGGTACAGCCCGCTGGGCAGATGGGAGAAGCCTGGAAGAGAGAAAAAGTCGGATGGGCCCAAGGCATGGCCTCCCAACAGGAACTTCCTTCCATCCCGCTCTTTTTCTTGAAAATAAAATCTTTTAGCTGTGGAGGGAGCCCCTGGTTCCGGGAGCCCTGAGATGTACGACCAGCTCCGTAGAGCAGGCTTGCCTCCCTCTAGGCCCAGCCAGCCCCCAGCCGCTTAAGCCCTCAAATCCCCACCGGAAGAGGATCCGAATGGCTCCAACTAAGCAGCGGATGATGATGATGATGATGATGATGATGATGATGATGGGGGCTCTAATCACAGGCCAAGCGCTGCCAACTGTTTTGCCTTTGTTATTCTCATTTAAACTTCAGCAGCACAAAACTCTGCGAGGCGGATACTCTTAACATCCTCACTTTACAGATGAGAAAGGCTCAGGGAGGACCACTGGCCCAAAGTCACACAGCAGAGGAGCCCGACTGTGAACGGAGGTCACTGGGACAGTTAACCTCAGCCCCACACAGACCACGTCGGGTGGTTTACTGATCTAATGAGTCCCTTCTGCTGTGTGACCCAGAGCAGGTCGATCACCTCTGAACTCAAGCCTGCCCGGCATCTCCAACTGTCAGGTCTCCCAGGAAGGTGCCGCCGGGAAAGAATTCTTCCTGGTGAGGATCCTTCCGGTGAGGCCTTCCCACCAGGGATGCCCAGAATTGGGGCTTTGTGGGACAGAGAAGACAGGAGAGGGTAGCCACAGAGAAAAGAAAGGAAACATCTAAGAGGGCACACAACGGAGGCCCAAGAGCCCCTGAGCAGGGCCCAGAAAGCCAGGCCAACTGGCGAGCAGGCAGGTTGCCGAGCACCGGGGGAGGGTCCTGATGCTCTGCCTGGGCTGGGGGGGTCCTACGGGACCAAAGGCCAATCGGAGACACCTGAGACTCGGGTCCCACGTGCCCCCAGGTGTTCCCTCCGAGGCCAGAGATGCAGGACCTGTCTCTGGCCACACCGGGCCCACGTTTCTCCCACGGCGCCACCTGCTAAAGATATTAACCACAACCCCAGAAAGATCAAGAGCACCTGATACACATGATCTCTTTCAAGCACTGAAACATCGCATCGGATCCCTCTGCTTTCTCGGCTGTAGAGTGGACCCGGCGGTCCTTACCTCACGGCTTGCTGGGCGTATAAGATGAGTTCAGATGTGCAACGCAATGTACATAGTAATAAGCACCCTACGTGCTTGGAGCCGTTACTGCATATGCGTTACTGCATAGCACTTGTGACACGGAAGAAAAGGGAGTCAGGAGGGGCAGAGGAGCAGGCTGGTGGCACGCAGGCACCAGAGGCACAGTCTTAGCTCTTCAGGTCCCTCCAGCCCCACCCTGGCTGACTGAAGACGGAGGCTCAGGTGGGACCCCAGCCCCAAAAGACTGCCCACCTTCCCAGGCCTAGAGAGGCAGGACCACCCCCTCCTGGTGAGCCCCTGGCACCGAGGAGAAAGTGGGGAGACAGTGCGCTGCAAAAGACCCCAGAAAGCCCTCGGGTCTGCAGTGGAGGCTCCCAGGACCCAGCATCCAAAATCTGCCAGAGGGGGGGAAGAGCTCAGGGTCCCTCAGGCCCATCCCTTCCCCGACAGAGGGGACCGTGGCCCTCACTGCCGAACTGCAACAGGAGGACCCGATGACCCTGGTCCCACTGCTCCAACACTGCTTATCGAGGGTCCCCAGGGAGACTGCGGTGACCAGAACTAGGCCCTGCCCTCAGAGCTCACTCCGGCGGGAAAACGGATGTCTCACAAATAAACACGCAGAGAAACCTATCCTTCAGGTGAGAGGTGGGCCAGAGCAGGGGGGTGGGGATGCGGGTAGCTGAGCCCTAAGGGATGAACAGTGGATGAGGGCCCACAGCGGCGGGAACAGCTTGGGCAAAGGCCCCATGACAGAGACCAGAGGAAGCACTGAGTATCTGAGGAACAGCGGGGCAGCTGGACGACCAGGCCTTGTCCCCCCCACCCCCCAGCCACGGCAGGAGAGAGGCCCGGAGGTGGAAGGGAGTGGGCAGGATGGAGAGGTGCCAAGGACAGTGGCCCACAGCCCTCAGCCCCGCCCACCTGGCACACTCCTTACCTTCATGGGCGTGAGCGGCCCACAGCTGCACCATAGGCAGGTTGCTGGGGGTAGGGGAGCGGAAGGAGAGGTCAGAGGGCAGGGGCACGGGGCTCCCATGGGACGAGGCTGAGGGCCCCATCCCGCTGGCCACAAAGCTGCCCAAGAAGGCCTCGCCTGCAGAGAGAAGGGGGGGGACTGTCAGGCACCCACCAGGCCCCCACTGCCCGGCCCAGCAACCCGGAATCCCCACGTCTCCCCCACTTCTTGGAGCTACCGCTGGCAGGGACACCAGAGAAGCCTTTCCGCCCCACCCTTGACCCTCCGGCTCAGGATGGGTCTGGTCACCTCGACCAGATCCCCTGGGACGTGGAAAAGGCTGCAAGTGTGGCCCCAGAGGAGCAGCCAGAAGGACGCCCGCCACCAAAGACCCTCACCCTCCGGGGCACCCGGCAACTAGCAAGAGGGCTCGCCCAACCCCAGACCCAAGCGGGACGGTCTCCCCACCTGCAGATAAGAGCTGAGGTGCGGCGGGGGACAGGGCCCTCCCGAGGCCACAGAGCGAGGGGGTAGGGGGTGGGGGGGGCCCGTGGCCTAAACCCCTGCTCACGTGGAGCTCCTGGATCAGGGGGGACCCCACGAGTCGGAGAGCAACCCCAAGGCAGCCCTGGTCAGACCTGAGGCGTTCTCGGCCAGCATCGGCCAGCCCGGTGCCAGAAGAACCACGTGCCCATTTAAGGCACCAGGAGGCTGCTGTTCGGAGGTGGGCAGTGCCCGGTCGCACAGCCAGGGAGCCCTGACCCGGAATACACACCCCGCGAGCACCCCACAACTACAGCGGATTAGCGAGAGGAAGCAGCGAAAGACCGAGAGCAATGGGCCATCCTTCCAGGGAGCAGAGCATCCCGCCCAAGGTCCCTCGGATGGGGGTGTGGTGGCCAACTGCTACTCGGTAGAGCGGCATGCCGGGGGCCTGGCTGGACGTCGCCCACCCCAGCCACGCCTCACCTGGCCAGGCCCACCCCAGAAGGGATGCCCCCTCGCTGCCACCGGCCGGGGGCGCTGGCCCTCAGGATCCATACACCCCACCCTTCAGGGGAAGATCCCGGCAGGCCTCCGGGTCACAGGCCAGGGGGAGGCCTGGGAGACTTGGGCGGGGGGGGGGGGGGGG